TGTGTGTCAGATCAGTGAGTGGTGGTAGCTGGGCACCATCTAGCTGTACTGGACTCAGTCTGGTGGAGGTGAAGGCTGTAATCTTTACAGAAGCTGACTGCCACATCTTTCAAACTGCCAGCCTTTTGGTTAGTAGCTGAGTGCTTAACCCCTGCACCACCAAAACTTCTTAGAAGTAACAAAAACAAACAAACAAAAAACCACATTGCTGTTGAGTCAGTTCCAACTCAAAGTGACCCTACAGGACAGAGTAGAACTGCCTTACCATAAGGTTTCCAAGGAGCGGCTGGTGGAGTCAAACTGCTGACCTTTGGTTAGTAGCCAAGCTCTTAATCACCATGCCACCATGGCTCCAGAAGTAACAAAGGAAGGTTATAAAAGATGGAAGGAAAACATATGCTCTCAGAATTTGGAGAAACACTTGCTTTTTTTCAAAAATGCTGTCGTTAGGTGTGTTATTGCTGCTGTAACAAATTACCACAAATTTAGTGGCTTAAAACAATATGGATTTATTATCATACAGTTCTCTAGGTTAGAAGTCTGACCTGGAGCTTACTGGGCTGGCTCCGTCTGTGGAGACTCCCAGGAAGACTCCTTTTCTTTGCCTTTTCCAGCTTCTAGAGCCTGACCCAAGCCCTGATATTTTCATTTGCCTCTTATGCATGTGAAAGCTGGACAATGAATAAGGAAGACTGAGGAATTGAAGCCTTTGAATTATGGTGTTGGTGAAGAATATTGAATATACCGTGGACTGCCAGAAGAATGAGCAAGTCTCTTGGAAGAAGTACAGCCAGAGAGTGCTCTTTGGAAGTGAGGATGGTGAGACTTTGTCTCACATATTTTGGACATGTTAATCAGGAGGCACCAGTCCCTAGAGAAGGACATTATGCTTAGTTAAGTAGAGGGAGCCAAAAAGAGAAAGACCCTCGAAGAGATGGATTAACACAGTGGCTACAACAATGGACTCAAACATAGCAAGGATTGTGAGGATGGTGCAGGAACGGGCGATGTGTCATTCTCTTGTACATAGGGTCACTATGAATCAGAACCCACTCAACGGCAGGTAACAACAGAGGCTGTCTGTATTCCTTGGTCTGTGATCTCTTCTCTGTCTTCAAAGCCAGCAATGTTATATCTCTGACTTTTCTTCTGCCTCATCTTCAGCTTTTAAGTACCTTGTGATTACACTGGGCCCACCTGGATAATGCTGATTAGTAACCTTAATTCTCCTTTGTTGTGTAACCTAAAATATTTATAGGTTCAGGGGATTAGGATGTGGAACTTTGTGGGGTTATTATTCTGTGCATACTAGGATTCCATGTGTGCTATTATACCAGATGAGGTTGGGGTCATGTCATTGAGCCGTTTTGCTTCAGTGATCTACTTCAGTCTGTTGCAGCCATCTTAGTTCTTGGAATGCTTCAGTGCCATTGGTCAGCCACCATTGTGTGGCATTGTTCGGGGATTTGTGAGCATGCTGTAAATTAAGAGTCTTGGGCAAACTTTTTTTTTTTTTCTTTTAATTTTTTAAAATTTTTTATTATTGTACTTCGGGTGAAGGCTTACAGAACAAATAGTTTCTCATGAAACAGTAGTACACATATTGTTTTAGGACATTGGTTAACAACCCCACAACATGTCAACCCTCTCCCTTCTCGACCTTTTTTTTTTTGGTGAAAATATACATAGCCAAAGATACACCATTTCAAAAATTTCTACATGCACAGTTCAGTGACATCGACTATGCTCTTCCAGTTGTGCTGCTATTCTCAATTTAGATGAAGGCTTACAGAACAAAATAGTTTCTCATTTAACAGTTAGTACACATGTTGCCCTGTGACTATGGTTAACAACCTCACAACACATCAACACTATCCTTACTCAACCTTGGATTCCCTATCACCAGCTTCCTTGTTCCCTTCTGCCTTCTGGCCCTTGTCCCTGGACTGCTGTACCTCATTAGTCACATTTGGTTCTGTGGGGATGTACACTCCCAGACTGAACGGTGAACCTCGGAGATGACTTCACCACTGAGCTTAAAAGGGTGTCTGGGGGCCATACTCTCGGGGTTTCTCCAGTCCCGTTTAGGCCACTAAATCTGGTCTTTTTTTTGTGAGTTAGAATTTTGTTGTACATCCTTCTCCAGCTCTGTCCAGAACCCTCTGTTGTTGATCCTGGTTAGAGCAGTCAGTGGTGGTAGCCGGGCACCATCTAGCTGTACTGGACTCAGTCCGGTGGAGGCCCTGGTAGCTGTGGTCCATTAGTCCTTCAGACTAATCTTTTCCTTGTATTCTGTTCTCTTCATTCTCCCTTGCTCCCGAAGGGATGAGACCAGTGGAGTATCTTAGATGGCTGCTCACAGGCTTTTAAGACCCCAGACGCTACTCACTAAGGTAGAATGCGGAACATTGTTTTTATAAACTGTGTTACGCCAATTTAGCTAGATGTTCCCCGAGACCATGGTCCCCACAGCCCTCTGCCCACCAATTCAGTCCCTCAGGGAGTTTGGATGTGTCTATGGAGCTTCTATGACCTTTCCTTGTATAAGTTGTGCTGGTTTCCCCTGTATTGGGTACTGTCTCACCCTTCACCCAAGATACCACTTATCTGTTGCCTATTTAGTATTCCCCCCCCACCCCTCCCATCCCTGGTAACCATCAAAGATTGTTACATTTTGTGAACTTTTTCATGGGTTTTTACAAATTAATAAACTTTTTATTTTGGAGTAATTTTAGATATACAGAAAAGTTGCAAAAATAGTACAGAGTTCCATTATAACCTTCATCCAGTTCCTCTAGTGTTGCCATTTTATATAACAAAAGTAAGGTTGTCAAAGTGAATAAATTAACTGTGGTACATTACTATTAACTAAGCCCCACTTTATTCGAATTTCACTTGTTTTTCTGCTAATGTCCTTTTTCTCTTCCAGGATCCAATTCAGGATACCACATTGTATTTAGCCGTCATGTCTTCTTAGTTGTCTTCTCTCTGTAACAGTTTCTTAGGCTTTCCTTGTTTTTCACGACCTTGACCATTTTGAAGAGTACAGTCTTTGTTTTTTAAGTCTTTGTAGCCATTCACCAATTCGGCTTAGTTGTAAAGCACTGTGTAGCTGACTTTGGGTTTACTTGACTACTTTTCCAAGTGTGGCCAGCTCTTTAGTGGGAGAACAGTCTTGTGTCTTTTTTCAACTCCAGGAGTTACATGTTTTATGGAGGGGACTTCTATGACTAGACAGCTTTTTCCTATGTGTACATTGGGGAACGTGTTTATTGGTTGCTTGTGTGTGGAAGACTTTGTTGTAGGAAACACAAAGGTGACTGAGACCCAGTCCTGCTCTGAGTATACAATCTGATGCGGGGAGAGAGGCGTTCAGACACTAGAACCCGCATTATTAGGGGCTGGTACTAGGAAAAGAGGTATAAGCAAAGTGCTGTAGGAGTTTAGGGGAGAGAAAGAGACCACTTCTGGCTCTGGGAAGATTTAATGTAGGAAGTGCTATTGAAGGAGCGCTTTTAAGAATAGGTGGAAAGTCAGTGTGCAGAAAGCAGGACGAGGCCATCTTAAACTGAGAGAAGGCTCTAGACAAAGACTGGAAAAGGCAAAATGTAAGGTGCGATGTCATCTAAACCTGTTTGAACACGGATCCCATGAAGGAGAACGGTACCAGGGAAGGCTAGAACAATGGAGTCAAATTGTGTAGGGCATTGAGTGATAAAGACCTCGTTGGGTCGGCAAAGGAGAGGCATTGAATTTTTTTGAGGTAGGAGGTGCTGTGTCAGAATTTGACAGTGGTAGATAGGATGGGTCAGACTCAGTCAGAAGGACCAAGAAGTAGACGGGCTTTGCGGTACTCCAGTGCCTAAACTTGGAGTACCCTTCACCTTACTACAAAGAAAGAGGTGGCTTCTAGGAATTTGCAGAAGAAATCAACTAAAGTTGGCCATAGGGTATGAAAGGTGAATGCAAGGGCACTGTTTTATCTTCTGGTTAGTACTTTTACCCCCACTATCCTCTGCTTTTGGAAGAATATCAGGTTTAAAAGACATCTCACAAGGAACACTTACAAAAGTAGAAATGCCATGTTCTAGGGAAAAATTA